AAGCGCATCGAGAACACTGGAGCTCTATTGCGCAAAAAACTGGACGCTCATTTGGCATCAGCTAGTCCTGTGATCTGACCTGACCGTTCTCTTACAGGCTCTGCATTCAACATTCGGAAGGAAACCTTCGGCCAAGAGAACATTGCAACCTCAAAACCCGTGAAGAAAACTTCGGCCTGGAAAACGCAGCAAGAAAGAAGCTTGACATATTCTTCACCCTTCCCACCGCTACAGCACAAAATTGGTATCGAAGACCTTTTTCGAAAGCTCTGTCAGTTTTTTACTGACTCGTGCCCAGCTGCGACGGTCCTCCTATTTTCTCCAAAGACAGAGCAAAACGGGCAAGTAGCGAAACTACGACAGGCCTGCAAACGCTTGAACATGACATTTACATTTCCCCACCTTTGTTTGAGGACGAGCAACCCCTGCCACATCAACAAGAACTCTTTTGACATTTGATCCCCGATATTTCCGTAGCAACTCACCAAGCGATTCAATTTTCCAAACTAGCGCATCACAGCAAACAGTGCATGTACCCTTATCGAAGGCTCTCCCTAGCCTTCCAGTGGGGAGCTCTGTGGTGACCAACCAAATCCCATTCTACATGTATTCTTCCTCCTATGCACCTCATTGTTTTACCACACCAAGGATACCTCTTTGGTCAGCACGTGTTTGCTTTCACCTTGCGCATACTTGTGTATGCTTCCGGATCTCCCTTTTGCTCTGCAGATCATAACAATACAACCCGTCCTCCTTTTCGTAAATCGTCTTGTTCTATTTTCATACGAACGTTCGTTTCCGATACAAACGTATTAGCTCGGGGTATCAATAAGACAGGGCCTACAAGAGCATAGCTTCAGCCAATAAGGCTAACGGGAACTCTTTAGCATAAGGGCTACGATATCCTGCAGAGACCCGCAGGTTCTGGTCCCGCTATATAAGGCTATCGTCCGGCCACATCTGGACTATTATGTCCAGGCATGGATACCATACTTACAGGAGGACATAGATTGCTTGGGAAAAGTTAAAAGGCTAGCCACCCAAATGGTATCTGTTCAGAGTCTCAAGGATTACTAGGACAGACTCAAGAACTTGAAATTGTTTTCCCTTCGACGCGGACGCATGAGGAATGATTTAATTGAAACGTTTAACATAATGAACCGTTTGTCCGGTATGAAAAGCGAGGAACTATTCTCTGCGATCCCGGCAAATGGCACCAGGTGGCATAGCTTCAGACTCAGAGTAATCAAAATAGGCTGCAACTACGAGCAAAGAACTTCACCAATAATCTGATCCCACAGTGAAATGGGCTACCAGAACATGGTCAGATGCAACAATCTAGTGCAATTCAAGACCACCCTGGATAAGCGTTGCAGAACTGTCTACTCAGAAGTGGTAGTCGCGAGACATACAAACTATTAGGTTTTCTGAAACCGACCGATTTTTAAATATATTATAGAAAACGTGATGTCAAATTGGGCTGAAAATGAACAGATTTAGCTTTTGGATGAATTAAAGTAATTTGCTAAAATTAAATTTGGTTTAATGAACCTTAATTGAATTTGTCCGTAAAGTATAAATACCGCAACCTAATAGCGACGATCACTTCCATGCTCATAACCATAGACCACGTTGACGGTACGGTCATTTTTGAACGAATGGTGAAAATGTTTTCGGATCGCTGGACGGATTCTTGGCGGGCTTCCGTGAATTCCAAAGGGTTACTTACACTTCTCACTAAGTTTATGCATCAATGACAGCCGAGAAACTAATACGAGGGAAAGTTTGGTCAGAAACTGACTCTGCCTAAGGGTTTTCCGTACTATTTCATCAAATAATGTTGTCAAAATCATCGAAGGCGCAGTGTAACTGCAATCCGATGATTATATCTCTCATTTCTAATGTATTTAACCCGTTCCAGGCTGCAAACTATTGATTGTCCGGTATTCGTTGGAGTTCGCGCGATCGGAAGGCAGTACCAAATGATGCAACGTTGTCTGGTGCACAACCATGACTTCTATGTGGATCAGCGGGGTTTGTATATAATCGTAATCGTCGTCTATCTGGATAACAAGACGAGGATTTATGTAATTTAATGGACACTTTTGGACAGACTCGCGAGCTAAGGGACTTCGCCACACAAAGGTTCAAGGCACCAATAAATACGGCGGATGTTAGATCCATGTTAGATCGAGACCTCAATCGGATTCACGTGGAGAAGCGGTGAAAGCTCGGGATATACTGAAGAATCGAGGAGAGGCTAGGATAGAGCTGAACAAAGGCGTTGTTGGTCGTACTAATTTTGTTACTGAGATTCAGAATAGTATCAAGAATGGCCTTCAGAGTTATATGCAAGGTGCAGTTTTTATTGATGGAAATTGGGTCCATTTCGTTACTGAGAAGTAAATCATTTGTAATAATCAATAATGATTCTATTTTTCATGGTAAATAAACTTCCGTTTAATTTATTTCGGTTGTCGGCTGCCTCAGGGAATCTGGCGTTAATTTGTAGGTATTCAATGAGCAAATAATGTTTTGCGACAGATGTCTCAGGTGGCGTTTTTCTATTGCTTGGATGATGGGGATTGATCAATCGACCTCAAACGTCTTTTATTTATACTGGTTTTGAGTGCTACGTAAATAATTCAAAGAGCCCCCCAGCTTTTGAATGACATCGTCTCTCTGAGCCAAATTTAATGGCTTACCCATGTCGTTACTTGAGGCCGCTAATACTACAGTGGAATTTTGTTCTGAATGCTTTTCGATGCGGTTCATATTCCGCCTATCTGGAATAAAACTTTGAATATC